TTGGCAACATCGAGCGATCATCTATCATATGGGTAACTAACAATGAGAAAACATTGGAAAAAAAGTATATTGATTTCATTTTTTTTTTCGAAATATAGGACCTGATGAATATTTTCATAAGCCAGATTATTATCAAGCTGATACTATTAACCAATAACGTACACAAAATATCGATATGTTAAATAATTGACAATATAACTCTTTCTTCTACCCATTTTCTTTTATTCTTTTCTCTTTCATTCTCTTGTTTATTTAATCTTCATTGTTTATTTCTTCATTGTAGATATATACATATCAAGTTCGATTTCTTCGACTGATTTAACATTCTATATATCATCAAAAAGATGACCCTTTTCCAACGACTTGCCAATAAAGAATTTAATGATGACGATACAAGAATTATCGAAAGACTTTGTGAATTAGCCAAAACAACAGTTGATGGAGCTATAAGTCAAATGTTTCTCTATTTACCCGATCTATTTCGTGTTCGTCAAGAAGAGTATGTATTTTTCATTGATAATATGACTGATTGGTTCTTTTTTAAAGATTTTTTGCTGCATTCAATGATATTAATCATCGAGCTGAACGAGATGCCTATCAAGTTGGTCATATACGTCCTAGATATACATGGCCAATATCATTTCTTACTTGTACATCTAATCTACGTATGTATAACACAATTATCAATAAAATTTTCTTCGGAGAAGAGAATACAATTCATAAGATATTACTCTAGGACAATTTGTCAATCAATGGATTGAAAAAGAATTATCCAATAAAATAAAAACCAAATGTCTTATTTTAATTGGACCAGCTAATACAGGTAAATTTGTTATCTTCTTAGAAAATTCGACTTGTTTTGTATGCATTTAATTAAACAAGGAAAGACAACGTTTGCTCGAGCGTTACCAGGTTTTTATAATTATTATGATGATGCATGGAATCCTGATGCTTTCAATCCATATGCACACTATACTATATATGATAATTTACCTTGGGATGAATTTGAAAATATCGGTTATCCAGACAAGAAACATCTTTTTCTTCAAGGTGGTCGAATTCATGTATGTATATATGAATGACAATTTCAGTTTCATTTATTTATTTTTTTTTTTGTAATACGAATATAGACAATTAACAATCGAGGCAAACCAACTATTGTTGAAGTTTATCAACCTGCTATTATACTTCTTAATTATGAAAATCAAGGTTCATTAGAAGATATACCAAGTACTACCAATCCAATTGACCAAGACAATGATAATAATTTCTGGAATCAACATGCTTGTATTTATCGTATGAGTAAGTTTCACATTTCAATATAATTTATGAATGAATAAATTATTAAATTAACTTTATTTAATGCTTTTTTTCAATTTTAGAAGAGGATGAATCATTTCATACACCGTAAAAATATTCGTAAATCTTTCTTTTTTATTCAATCTATATATTCAAGCTTTTGTTATGTATTAACTCTATATATTTATATATTGACTTTTAGTGTTTAATTCATATTTCTTCACTTTACATTTAACCATTATCCGTATCATAGTATAAGATTTCTCTTTTTGTTGTAGATATATCTACGTTCACCATGTTTCAATTTTCATGAAAAACAGTCCAACAAAGAAAACAAAAATACTGATTCAATCGACTGTAACAATCAACGCACAATGTGATTATTTGAATAAAGCCGATCAGATTATTCTAATTTCAAGGATATGTTTACAATCATAGATAAATAAAGAATGTTATTAACTCCAGGTCATGGTCAATTTTATATATATAAATATATTTTAGTACAATGAGATATAAAAGCATGATCAGTTACAGTCATTTATAGCGTTATCTTACAATATGTATTATTATTTTTTCCTTCTTTCAGATATTTTATTTCCTATTCATCATCATCATTATCATCTTCTTCTTCTTCTTCTTCTTCTTCTTCTTCATTGTATAATAGTTCGGTACGTATAGTTTCAATTTCTTTCAATATTATCTTTATCTTTCACTTATTCCTCCTCCTCCTATAGATAGATTATATATAATTAGCTATATTTTCCGATTTTTCAGTAATTATATCTATATTACAGCTTCAACAAACAATTACAACAAAAAAAAGTGTTATTAATTATAATAGTGCGATGGATCAAGATACAGTAAGATATGTAAAAGAATTTATTGAATTATTTTCATTTTTCTTTTCTTTTCATTGGATATTGTAGTCTAGAAATTCGAATGCAAATCATGAACAAATTCAAGAAAGAATGTCTGTCGACGATCATGATGATAGTGATAATGATAAACATCGTTCTCGCGTAAATATAATTCAATCTAGTAGATCAAATAAATCTTTTTTTCTTTTGAGATAAAATAGGTTAATATATCTACTCATTCAAAAAAACGACCAAAGAAAAAAACTATTCCACAGCAAGATACTTTGTCTTCGACAAAATTAGCTCTTTCAAAAGCATTAAATATTGACTTTAATATAAATCCTGACTATCTTTCAAAAGGAAATCAATCACTCGAGAAAAAAATTCATTCAATTTTACCATCCACAATTAATATTGAAGAATCAAGAATGATTGCTTTACAGATGTATAAAATTATTTCAATTGAATTAGTTCAATCGTTATGGGATATTTATCAAAAATCATGTACGGGTAATTTACAATCGACATTATCTATTAGTCATATGGATGATCAAATTGATACGAAAATTTGTCCAACAGAAATAAAATCTTACATGAAATTATGTAAATTTCAAACTGAAAAAAATGATATTCATCCATATTTAACTTTTGTTAATCATTGTTTACATGATTTTAAAGATCAAAGTGGACATTATCATAAACAATTGAATATGAAAGCCGGTCGTTTAGTTGGTTATACACGTAGTCTTGAACATGTTATTGAAAAATTTGTTCAACAAGGATTGATTTGTAAGCGCATCGAAATTGATCGTGAAATTGCTTTAGTTCAATATCATTATACGGATGTATTACTAAAACGTACTTTTCTTGTGCAAAATCCTAATGAAAATCAAGTAAGACTATTATCGATATATATATTTTTTTATTTAATTTTCTTATATTATTTCAATACTAGATTAAAGCAGTAAAATATCTTTGTAAACTTCAATATAATCAAGAAATGACAAAACATGAAGCAAATTTTTTAAAACAACAAATTCCAAATTATATTGCATCTCATGTATTTGAAAAGGAACAATCTATTGGTCAATTTCCATTACTTAATGATATTAATGATCCTATTCTACGACAACAATTGTATAAACAATACAAAGATACTGCAGAACAAGCAAGAAATAAGATGATGAATATTTATTTAGAATGTGCTGAAAGACAACGAGATCAATGTCAACAAAAGTATAAGATGGAAATAAAACAACTATGGGATAATGAAAAAACTCTTCCGTCTGAACTACGACTAACAACAATTATGAAAAATATAATTGATCAACGTGTTGCTAATATTACAGCACGTATTGAATGTTTATACAAATTTAAAATTCAATTATATCATTCAAAACCTAATATATAATAGATTTCTTAACCGTTTTTTTTTTAAATATTTTTTCATTCTAATTTCTATTCTTATCCATTATCTTCTGTAGATATATATTAAAATATTTACTCTTTGTTTTTAGATACGTTGAAAACACATTAATAATAATGAATAATTCGTCTAAAATACCTATAACATCTTCCTTATCATCGATTACAACTACAGATAATATACAACAACAACAAACAATAGTGAAAAAGAAACAAAAACGAATTAAACGTTGTCACGGTGATCGAAAAAAACAACGTTATAGAAAGAAATGTCGTGCAAAGGGTATGAAACCAGCTACTATTGCTAAACGAGAGAAGAAACGATTTAAGGATAATAATAATCCAACTACACAACTAGTAACTACAAACGATGATAAAGTAAAGAATAATTCTGCAACTGCTTCATCAAATAAACGTAAACGAGATTTAACAATTAATCAAGTAGTCAGATCAGCAAGCCAATTAAGTATTACAACATCACCACCTAAAAAAATGACCAAAACAAAGATTAATAATGCCACAACAACAACAACAGCTACTGCTACTACTACATCAATGGTTACGCATAATGATAATATATATCGATGTGCACCATATTTGAAACGAACATCATCAATACTTTTACAAGCTCTACGTCTACAATTGGAACATCCATTAAAGAAAAAAATCGAACAAAGATTCATTTTTCAACGTCTTGAATTATTAGATAAACAATTCTGTTTAGAATTACATCGATTTCTATGGCAATCTTACTTGAATATAGGCTCACAAGAACACTCACAACAATATACATGGCCAGTAAGTAAAAACATCTTTTAGTGCATAATATTATTCATTAAATTCATATTACTTTTGAATATTCAGGATGAAATCCATACTATGTTTCAAACTAAAGATTCACGTTTATGTTATCAATCTATTGAGAAATATATTTATGGTATTCAATATCAATTAGATCAATGTAATAAAATATTAATGGAACAAAATCCAACATGTCCAGAAAGTATTTCTATTGATATGTGTGACCTACGTTTAAAGAAATATATCGAATCACAACAAAAACAATTTCATAAAAAAATCAATCATCAATTATCTAAATTCAAAGAGTGTATTCAAGAAAAACAATTCTATCATACTTTATTCAATGATAATCTTACACAAGATCAGGTAGAGTTATTCACTTTAATAAATATTTTTTTTCATTTGAATTTTCTGTGATTTTCACATTCAGGATAAAACTATACATCAATTAGTAAACATACAAGATGAACAGTTGAATTGTTGGAAAGAATTACTTAAGTTAGAACAACATATTCTATCGAAATTTTTAGATAAAAATTTTGATCATTTACAAAATTTTATTACTTCAAATGTCTTCTATTCACCAATCATTGCTGATGATGATTCTATTGTTACATATCAATTAAAAAATGTCAAAACTTTACAAGAATCAAAACGTATATGGTTAGATATTTATCTACAAGTATATATGTTAAAAATTCAACAACATGATCAACATTATCAATATGAATTCATTCAATTGAAACAATGTTTAAATAATACTACTGAATCAACAGAACTATTTCAATCTATTCAAACATATCTGACTCAACGAAGTAATCGATTAAAACAAGAAATCTATTTAGAAATCAATTATTTTGAAAGAAAATTAACACGTCGTCGTCATCAATATTCATCTAAAACGAAACAAATGATTGGTGTTTCACCTGAAGTTATTCTTGATGTTCATCCTCGTCAACAAGAATTGAACTCTGTTGAACGTGAATATCTTTGTCGAGGTAAAACAAAAAAAAAAGAATTCTATTATTATAAAACAATAGTTAATTAATGTATGTATATATTTATAAATGATTTGCCTTTTGTGTGATTTTTAGGTGGCAGTTATATTCGACCAAATCGTACGATTCTTCATCCTTATGCCGAACGTAAAAAATTAGTTCAAAAAGAACATGATACAATTTTTAATAAAACTAAACAGTTTCTTTTAAAATCTTGTCAATCAATACCAAGCGCATCACCTCTTTTCAAACAATTTTCTGAACGTCTTCATACTTGTTTAACTCTTCATTATATGACAACAATACCTTATAAGGATCATGCTCGTGCTAAACAAGAACGTGAAATTATTAAATCTATTCGACGAAAATTAAAACGTAACAAACTTATTCTTCGTCAATGTGATAAAAGTGGAAATCTCTATGTCGGTGAAAAAAGCATTTTTGAACAAAAAGCAACACAATATCGTGTACAAACAGGTGCTTATGAAGAATTATCATCTAATCCATTGGAAGATATTCTAATGAAAGTAACTCGTTTACTCAATGATCTTCATGCGAAAACCAAAGATTTATCACCTAAACAATATAAAAAAATGATGCCCTTAAGAAAAAACGTCAGATTAGCTCACATGTATTTTAATCCAAAAACACATAAAGTTAGTATATTAATCATTAAATCTTTTTGTACTATATTCTATTATTATCTATTCTCATTCTCTCTCTTCAATTCATTCAGGATCCTGTTACACTTCGACCAATTATGAATACAATTCATGCTGCAACAACAGGTATATCTCATTTTTTAGATGACTTAATTCGACCATTATTTAATAAACATGCTCAACCAAAACCAATTGCTGATGGTAATAGTCTTCTTCGTCAATTAGAACAATATGCTGAAAATGGTTATCTTCAACCAACAACTCTTTTTTGTACTTTCGATATTACTAATTTATATACAATGTTACCACAACATGAATCCTTAGATAGTCTTGAAAACTTTCTTCGTCACTATAATTTAGAAAAAGACTTACAAGGTATATCAATTAACGTTATTCGACAATTAGCTGAAACTGTTTTGAAAGAAACAGCGTTTTTTTATGACAATAAATATTACAAACAGATAGTTGGTGGAGCTATGGGATCACCATTTACTTTAACATTAGCAAATATTTTTATGTGGCAATGGGAAAATAATATCATATGTAAAAAATTAAAACCTAATGAGATCTGTGGACGGTAAATTTTTATTTAATATATTATCGTAAAAAAAAATTATTTTTCTTTTTTGTAATATAATGATAGATATATTGATGATATGTTCTTTACTTCAAATGAATCTAAAGAAACAATTGAAGGTATACTAAAAGATGCGAATGATTTTCATCCTAATATTAAATTAGAAGCAAATATTGGCCATAGTGTTTCATTTCTTGATCTTTTAATTACTAATCAAAATGGAAATCTTGTATCATCTGTCTATCATAAATTAGCTGCAGAACCATGTGTTATACCATTTAATTCTGATCATACTCGTCATACTTTTGGTAATATCATTCAAGTTATTCTTCTTCGAGCAATACGTTATTCTTCTACATTGGAAAGTTTTCAAAAAGAATATCGTAGAACTCGATTAATGCTCTTATACAATGGGTATGTGTTTGATTTCAATAATTTTATTTTGTTCTTATCAATAGATTTTTTCTATTTCTAAAATATTTTCCAGATATCCATCAAAATATATTGACCAACATTTTCAAAAATTCTTCGCTTCACATCTTTCCAGCTCCTCTCTTATACCAATGATTTATGATGAAAAAGAATTTTTGATCATAAGAAGGAAATTATTAGCTCAATCATCTGTAAAAGAGATTCAAATAAATCGTCAAATCGATAGTATAGGAATCAAACAAACTGATAAACCTAATAAATTCGATAAAACTTTATTTCTTCATTATACACATGAAAAACGATTGGAACCAATAAAACGAGATATACATAAGATTTATTCAGATGTTTTTCAAGGTACTGAAGCCGAAAGTATGCGACTAATTATTGGACATCGAAATAGCCGTAATCTTGCACGTGAATTAATTAGAACCAGACCATACGCTTCTTTTATTAAGTTACCATCAACTAAAAGTAAGAATATACATTTGGCTTTATAGAAGATTCTTATTAAAAATCTAATATTTATTTTTTGTTTCGATATTAATAGAATCAAATGTTGAAGCTTTATGAAAACTCAATTGATCAATGGTCAATGATACTCGAACAAATTATTTAATTATTCTTTTTCAAAAGAGTACTGAAAACTTTAATTATTTGCCTCAATCATACTTACGTTTTTATTCACATGCCGTTTGTTTCTTTTTTTTTGTTTAAATATACATCATATTTATTTGTATATTCTAATCTTATCATTATCTGTTCTATTCATTCTAGATAAAGTAAAATTTGCATCTATATCATCTTCATTCATTTATTTCATATGGTTCCTCCAATAAATGCTTTTACCGAAGAAAACATGTCCAAGACGGAAGACGGAATAGAAAAACAACGTCCTTGGGAGAATATCGAACCATCACATACAAACTATAATACTCAGAAAGACGAAGACGACGATCAATGGTTAGTTTTTGACAATAAACTTCACGTAAATCATGATGTTTCTAATTGAATAACTCTTCATCATCATGACTCATCACAATGAAGACATATGAATTAGTCAAATCTGCCTTTTTACATCCCAGACATGGATAATATAACGACAAATAAATATTATCGACCGTAAGCAAGTCCAAAACCCCACCAACAATAACTACAACTCGCCCAACGACCACTTCGTAATACCTTAATCGAAACGCGTTGTGGTAACTCTATCATAACATTAATCATTCTATT